GAAAAATTCAGTAAAAATCTTTTTTTTAATTAATGGTCTGCTTTCTCCATTCTCCGTATCGGTAATGAGAATTATTCTGGATCATGCTGGTATGAAATTGGAATAAAATTTAATTTAATTGTTTTCCTGTATAACTTTTATCAAAAGATAAAAGTTCACATTCTACTTTAGTCACTAGAGTTAAAAAATCTGCCAAATTAGACTAATTATATTTTTATGTTACTGTGATACAGTTCATGAGAATCACCCAACTCGTCGGCTGACAATAAACACAGAATGCAGTGCCACTCAGCACCATCAACACAGCAGATTTGACACACACACCTGTTGAGGGCATGCATCAGTTTTCATATACCCAAGCCCTTTTCAAGAAAGATTAGTGAATCTTACCTCTGATGGTTTATGTCTTCAAATAACTGTTGTGAGTTATGACTGTTCCTGCACTGCTATATTTTGAGATGTAAAATGGTAAGTATCAATTGATGTCTTACCAGCTGCTATAGTGATTTGTCAAAAAAATATTTTGCAAATCGGTACACTTGTTAAGTGTAATGTTAAGTGTGAAATGTTACCCCGAGCAGTTCCAATATTTTTGTACCAAGAGTTTAAAAATGGGTTCTATGTACAAATGAGGTAGCCTTGAGATAAGGCCTTTTGAAATCTTTATAGTTTTTACTTGAAAAGTGTTTTTGATTAGCCTATTGCTTGAACAGCAGTACTAAAGAGGCAGCTTATATGCACTACTTTTGTCAATTTGTGAATTCCTCTTGAAGTCTAAGTTTACTTGACTACTGTCTTTAACACAGGGGTGTCAAGGGAATGCTCCCTCTGTGATTTTTTTTTTTTTTTTAAATAACCCCTCAAATGATGACTTCTGGTTTACTACTTATTTATTGTTTGACAATTTGCACTACAGAGGCTTAATGACAATTTGATTTGATTTTGTGTCTGTCAAGTGTCAGATCTTTTCAGAAGTAAAATATCTGAAAACTGAAAATGTGTGTCTGTGATTATTCAGTATGGGTCAAACCAAGCCAGATCAACCTATTTTAGAAAGCCTTCACACAGGACCATTTAGAATTTCTCCTTCTTTATGTGGATAATGGCATTCTACCAAACAACAAACATTTACACTTGGCAATGTCAATACATTACATCCAAGTGACTTGTAAACAACGTCCAATGTAAAGAACAGAAAACTGTAAACATATTTGCTTTAACATGTTGTACATTTAAATGCTTAACACCCTGAAATGTAGCCAAAACATTATACTGCCTAAGTACTGGCATGTAAGGTGCACACAGTTTTTAGGTCTGTGATGAACATAGTCAAAATATTGTGAACTATGACAATGAGAACTTTATAATAAATAATAAATAATAATAATAATAATAATAATAATAATAATAATAATAATAAGTTACATTTATATAGCACCTTTCTCAAACCCAAGGTCACTTTACATAGTGGAAAGGAAAATACAACAACAAACAAACAAAAACAATACAACCAAAGTAAGTAAGTAAGTAAATTTATTTATATAGCACTTCTCACAGACAGGACTCACAAAGTGCTTCACAAACCCCTCAAAAAAAAGGAGAGTGGGAGGAAAGAGTTTAAACTTTGATATAATAGACAGTATGACATCTCAATCACACAACCTCACACACACACTGGAGAGAAGATTGTCCCTTTTATGGATCCAGGAATTGAGTGAGGATTCCTGACCCTTTTCCTTTCTGATGTCATGCAGTCTCCTCTGGCAGCTGGTTGTCTGGCTGGTTTTCCCTGTCGTACTGAATTGCCTCAGTAACACTGTTGTCGTCTACCGTGTCCTTAGAAGCCTCACAGTAATTGTGCAGCACGAAACGTGCATAAATTACAAAGGGAAGATCAGACAGATTAATGTCCATGGCCCTTCTCAGGGCTCCGAACAGGGCTTTTAGTCTCCCAAACGCACATTCTATCACCATCCGTTCTCGGCACAAAGATAGTCCAAAGTACTGCTCCTGGGCAGTGCTTCCTCCATTAACATATTCTTTCATATGATATGGGAGCAGTAGATATGCAGGGTCGCCTAGTATGTAAACCGGTATAGCCTCTTCATCTTCAATGATTTGCCTTGGACAGGGAGGGATGCTTCTATTTTTCAAGGACGTGTTGAGTGGGGAGTTTGCAAAAATACGGGCATCGTGCATGCTTATTTATAATTGCAGGTGGCTTGAATGTTTAAGGTAAACCTCCCTTTTCTGTTGAGGTAATCAGTGGAATTGGCCGATGGTTGCGTAATCTCTTAATCTTAATCTACATGCGTCCCATCCACAGCACCTAGGCACTGAGGGAGGCCATGAGCTTCTTCAAATCTCTGCACAAGTTGCTGGACAGCAGCTTCGGTTTTCGTAAGTTATTTAGTTTATATATCTAGGACCCAAGTGGACAGTTATAGCTCTACACACCTTTCTGATTATTACTGAAACGGCTGATCTAGACAGACCAAATGCGTTTGCCGTCTTACGTAGTCTACCCTCATCAGCTAAATAGTATAGGGTGAGGGCAACTTTTTTCTGTACGCTGACCGGCGACCGCATGACAGTAGTCTGACCTTCTATGGAGGGACGCAGTAACTCCAAAAGCGACAGTAGAGATGACCGTGACATTCTGAAGTTCTCATGCCATTCCTCCGGGAGGACCACTTCGTTCTCAAAGTTTTTCCACCAGACCGCGGTTTGCCCAGGTCGGATCCAAAACCGGCGGCGGCACAAACGTAAAAATGAGTACCACCTTAACAGCATCCATGATCAGTAGCCAAACAAAGTGTAAACACAGGTCGCTCACATGACGTCAAGCATTTTCTGGTGCATGCTGTGACGTTTCAGAACCTAAAACCCCATTTCACCCAGTTTACATGGCAACACATAAACGGCATTTTCAGAAATCTCCACTTTGGCCAGAGTTTTTACAAATGATCATTTTCTGTGAAAAAAACTCCATTTGCGTGTAAATGAGAGGCCAAACCGCATGAAAATATGTGCGTTTTTCCTACATGTAAACGGGGTGTGAGTGTCATACCTCAAATACTATTCCATAATAAATGATGGAAAATTGAGGGAACATCTTAATGAAGAGTTAAATCCATGGCTGGGTGTATCCCTTAACATATGGTTTGAGATTATATCAAAGAATAGCCTAACAGAGCAGAGTAGGGTACTGCGATGGATTGCACATGATTCAGATTTTACACCCAACACAATAGATAGGAAGTTCAGTAGATGGGGAGGGATGACCAACAATATTTTGGGAGCTTTTTAAAAAGACGGTTATTAAAAGTTTTCAAGATCTAAAAAATCAATATGGCTTAAACAATCAGGATTTATACAGATATCTATAGATGAGGCATTATATGGAGCAAACTATGAAAAAGTTCAATTGTGTTGAGGTAGAGTCAGGAATTTAAAGTATTTATTTCGGCATATGAATCGGACCCAGGCAAGAAATTAATCACAAAATTGTATAAAGAAGTGGAAAATTTAAAAGGTAACAATACAACATATATAAAAGAAAGTGGGAGAAAGAGGCTAAAGGGATGTTATCAGAGGAGGAATGGGAGAAGATCAGTGACCAACAATGGAAAACAACATGCTCCCTCTCATGAGGGAATAATGGGACCATAGTGAGATATTTTGTTTCACCAGCTCAGCAGAAATCTCAGGATATGAGATGTTGGGAGACTATGTGGTGAAAATAAAGCCAATCATTTTCATGTCTTTTGGAAATACCCCTTTATTATACCTTATTGGCAGGGTTTAAAGAAAAGCATGGAGAAAATTTTGGATGTGAAACTTCCATTTGCATTGAGGTTATGTACTTAGGAAAAGAGAGCCAGAGAATAATAAGTTCAGGGTAGTGTTGCACGGTATACTGGTACCAACGGTAGACCGCGGTACTTAAACACCACGGTACATATGATACCATAATGTTGGAGTACTGTAGTACTACGGTACATCACGGTACCACTACTGTTGGATAAGTTCAAAGTCCAGTCGCAAAAGGGTGAGTGTCCATGTGTCATCCAAAAACGGCACACGTTGGCCAATAACAGCGCGCGCTGGCCACCTGGCACTTAATATGCTGCTGCAGTGGTTTGTTTTACAGTGACATTTCAGGTTTTAGCTGAGCTATTGAGTATCTTTAAGCAGTTAAAGTTATTATTTATTTATTTTTACTTGTAGGCTAGATTTGTTTATATATGCTACAGTGATTTGTTTTCCACAGAGCACTACGGTGCGAGCATTTTACTCGCATTTGCGAGTAAAAATAGTTTTGTGCGAGCAAAAGAAATCATTCAGGAGCACGCTGTGCGAGTACAGATTTCAACCAGCAGCAGAAACGAAAGGCGAATCCTGCCGGTTGTGAGTTGAACGGGGGTCACGTGAGCACGGAGGTCATGTGAGCACGGAGCACAGAGAGGCAGTTAGAGCTGCAGGCTACAATGAGGCTAAAAACAGAGTTCAAGGACGTTTTTCCAAACAGCTTTTTATGTCGGAGCTTCAGGACACTTGGATCACTACGGACGAGCAGTATGGAGATATTCTGTGGTTTCAATTATGTGGTTTTTTTGGACGTTTTAATCTGGGACACCGTCAGCCTGCATTAGGTGGAGCTGTGTTGCTACCCCCTCTCCCCTGGGATCTCCGCAAGGGACGTGAGGACTCTAAAACTTCACCTGGGCCTCCATCGGTATATGGGTGAGTAGATAATGGCTGAATTTTCATTTTTGGGTGCACTATCCCTTTAAGGGTTTTGTCAAAAGTATTATAGGATATGTGTAGGAATTACAACCATTTTTATGTAAAGTCCTCAAATTTTAAGGGATCAAATGTATCTGGACAAACAGACAAAATATACATGAATTCATGCTCTAATTGTTTAACTCACTCATGTCTCCTGGTGGTTTTTACCTGCAACATTTGAGGGAAGTGAAATGCACAAAATGCTGAGATAAACAGAACAATGGAAATGTTTATTGAACTAAAACACTAAATTACATCAACTACATTTGCCACTACTTACAGATTGAACTAAAACAGTAAATTACATCAACTACATCTGCCACTATTTACAGATTAAGGTACCTTGGCATGTAAAAGTAAAAAAAAAAAAAAAAAAAAAAGGTCTGCCCTTTCTCTGATTGTTGTGGCAATCTCACTGGCTTTATATATGCGTTGGACTAACATGTCCTCCTCCGCAACCACCACAAAGTCACACCATTCAAATCCGGTGACAAGGAGCTGCCCTTGAACTTGCCAGAAGTAGGCATGTTGTTGTTTTAGTTTGATGTTGCCCTTCTCCATCTTAAGGTAGGAGCAGTGAACATAGCTTTTCGCACTTGGACATTTCACTTCTAGCAGACCGAATGGGGATCCTGTCAGCAAGCTTTTCTGCTGAATCCGGTCCTCTGACATGGCACACCTGGAATAGAAAGTTTATTTAGCCATTTATAACAAATATGAGCATGCACATGGGAAATGCTTTTCACTGTGCAGGAGGGTAAATCAGTTCCTTTTTTAGTTCCTAGGTTCACAACTGAACATTTTAGGTTTCAACAGTCTCTGACAATCTAGTAGTCAATAGTGAGCAATCTGGTATTCTCTAATATTCTTATCATATTTACATACCTCTCTGAAGTGCGAGGAGGTGAGGCGTGGCCTTCTTAGCTGATGCCATTCTGAGACCTGACTTTGGTCTTTGGTTGCAGCTTCAATTTTGTTAGCCATTTCCCATGTGGTCTCCAAAGATTTTAAAAACAACTGCTCCTTTTCGCTGCACACGAACATGCAGTTTGAGGGGTCCAGCCTGTAGTGCATCTGGGTGGATCTAGGTGGAGTGTAATTTGCCTGCTTGTAGTCAGCGGTTGCTGATATGAGAGTGGACTTCCTGACTGGACCTTTCCAAGCGCATAATTGACCAATGGGATCTCACTGGAGATGCCCATCGTGGTAATCAGTGGTACACAGGCCATGTCTGTAAACCCTCCATACACCTCTGATATCTGCAGAAGAGAGGGGTCCGGTAGTTCTCCCCGATTGTAAACTGTGCTCCTGTATGAACATAAAAATGCCATTAAGAATAGTCTCTAACTTAGGTTAGGCTATTTTAATTAGAAAGTCATATTGGCAACCGATATCTTAAATTGTTGCTAATTGTTATGCACAAAACACAATAGGTTGTAGGCAGCAATACACTTGTGAATGTACAGCCTGGCATGCAGCACATAAAGCAGATAAATCGACTTGGTTTATTCCAGGCAGCTATGTGCTATAATGACGTCGCTGCTATCCTCACTTGAATTCAACAGGGCATTTGGTGGATAGCCGGCGGAAACGCCATTTAAATGGTGTGCAGACTCCGCCCACCCGGCGCAGCCGTTCCATGCGTCGGCAGACAAATAGACCAGACTCACTATAGTTGCAACCCTTCGTCTTCTATGCATCTGTCTATCTGTAAGTGTGCAAATACTTTCTCCCTACCTCATGCCATCAGCCATCGTCTTCTGTTTCGGTTTAGGCTTTGCAGACATGACGACCATTTTGTCAACTGGGCCTGGCTTCACACCCTATATAATTGAAAGACATTTGTTTAGATATTGATGTTAGATGTGGAAGAAGAATTAGATATTGATTAGATACTGACGTTAGCTGTGGAAGAAGAAAATACCTCACACACTTACCATCGTTCTTCCGCTGCTCACTCTCTGTACAGCTCAGGACAGGCGGGACCACCGGAGTCTTCAGCTCGGAGTAATGTGTACACTGATACAGTAGAGCAACAGTGTGGTTGCATAATGTTGTACCAGCGACACAGGAGCACTGGGTGTGTATTAACTCAGGGCATGAGTCCTTCAAGATTACCTGAAATAACAAAGAGATGTCATAAAAAAATATTGACATGAAGATATTGTTTATATTTCATTAAAATGTAGGCTAGTAGAATTATCTATCTTCATTTGAACATTGAGTGATTCCTGCTTAAGAAAGAAGAATAAGTTGAGACAGGCATTACAATCCTACAAAACTCTTCATTGGACATGCATTCTAATCAGCAGGATTATTTCTTTGTCATTTTAATTTCTTGGTTCTGGACACTGTCTCAACTGATTCATTTGAAGAAAGTGTTAGTACGTATGCAGTGTTGGGGAAGCTACTTTCAAAATGTAAATTTGCAAGCTACTAACTACTTGAACCTGGAAGTAGTTAAGCTTCATTATTCATCATTTTACCGTCACTTACTGGTGTTTTGCCAAATATTACAACACCCAGAACATGACTGAGAACAAGCTAACTGCGCAACACCCTACTCTCAAATCGTGCAGTTTCTCGTTCTTTCTCATGGACCTATAGCAGGTCGCCCTGACGCTGACCTCCCTTGTACTATTATCTTTGTTCGACACTGAAAAGGAAACAGATTTACGTTAGTCAAGACTCAAGAATTTAACATTACCGATTTTGAATGTAGACGTGGCAACATTAGCTAGCTACCTAGTAGGGCTGTCCCGAATAGCATCTTTTAACATTCGGACCTTCGGCAGAATTTATAACGAATATTCGTTCACCGGGGTGGGGGTGGGCAACTCCGCGGTTTTTTCCGACCTAATTGTATTGCAGAGTTTTGCACAGCGGCGACCGGATCTTTGCTCTCAAACCACAAAAAAATGTGATGGCACAACAGTCTCCTTCAGTACATTATAGGGTTGTCAAAAGTCTCAAACGCTGTATTCGGATAAAATACTAATTTACAAAAGTATCGATACTAACAGTGCACGCCACCTCAGCGCCTGTCGGGTGCGCACGATGGGTCCGACAGACACGCTCTGTGCAGGCAGTGTCTGGCAGGCACAGAGCCCTCGCTGCAACCCGGCTTGTTGTCGTCGCTGTGCATGCATGCACACATTTCTGTTGCTGTAATATGGCCAGTGTGGCTGCAGGAGGATCAGAGCAGCCAGTTTTGGTCAAAATGATAAAGGAAAAAGTACTCTTTGGAAATATTTAGTGACGTGAACACAGCACGCTGCAGATGGCAGGTACAGCCCCTCCCCTCACTAGCAGCTGAGCAGCTGGTGTCGCCAGCATCAAACTAAAATATAACTTCTAACGTTAATGTGGGAGCTAAGCAGAAAACTTTATCAGTCATGCCCGTCTGTAACATTAATAGACAATGTTAGTTTAACAGGACAACACAATTATGTGTGTCTGAAAAGTTATGTTAACTGTAAAGTCACAGATTGAAGCTGAAAAAAACGTTTGGTTTCTCCCGTAACCCCTGGTTCTCTGATCACATAGTGAGGTAGAAACAGGAGCATCCTGAGCCTAAACTACCAACTCTATTTGATCAGCAACAAAAATATGGTGCCAATTCACCAGAAGCACAGAAAATAAACAGGGCTGTAGATAAATACATTTGTATGGACAGATCTTGTTTCTGGTTGTTATTTATTTTGGGGGGATTTTTTGTTGTTATCATTGATGTTACTGTTCTGATCTTTATTTAAAAAATGACATGCCTCTTAATTTTTTGCTGCTGTATCAAAAATGGTATTGAGTATTGAATATTTTCCTGGGTATCGATATCGAGTTTGAAATTTTAGTATCGTGACAACCCTAGTACATTATTCTGTGCTTTTTTTTTATTTTCACATTGGCTAGTCATCCTGTTTAATTTGTCTTCTGATTAAATCGGAACCGTTGAAACAAGTTGTAGAAAGCCTCTGCAAGTAATTAGTTGCTGGCAGACACTCTGTGCTGCAATAAAATGGTTAATCAGCAGTGCCGTGCACTGTAGAGCCAATGCGCTGCTGGTTCTGCCGGCCTGAATAGAATATAATGTCTATAGCCTTACTGTTGTGTGTACAGCCTTTATAGACTGAGCTAAGTAGTGATGCGCAGGTCAACCCATAACCCGCGGGACCCGCAAATGGACCTGCGGGTTGGGCAGCAGTGATCGTCTATTAAATCGGTCTGTAAATGATATTTTGACATTATTGGCTATTACTGTCATGGCATCCGAAGGTACTGATGCGTTGAGCAGGTGACAGTCCGCGGTCGTTTTCAAAACACACTTGTGTCACGCACTCCAAAAGAAACTTGTTGAAACTTTAAACAATAATTTATTGTACAAAACGGGGGAAACAAACACCGACAAAAACGGTTCCATAATTCATATTAAATTCAAAAGATAATGAAAAAACAGCTACAAGTTAGAGGGAATAGTGATAAAGTGGTAAAACTTGCCATTGATCCACAGCCTCAGACAGATGCGCTTATTGATAACCTACATTTACCAACAACAAAAGACTACATTTAGCACCAAAAAAAATGTTTAAAAAATAATAATTTTAAAAAAGTAATTAAAAAAACAAATATCGAATACCAAATTTTCATAACGATACCTACCTATAGAAACGAATATTCGAATATCTGAATATTTGGGTACAGCCCTACTACCTAGTAGGCTACTTAGCAAGGTAGTCGCAAAGTAACCAGCTAATGTTGATGCTCGTAATGTTAGCATTATAGTATAGTTGTTACTCACCCTCGTAGTTGTCGATGTAGCTCGAAATATACATCTTAAACCCCTTTTCTTTTTTGCTCGTGTGGACTACCGAAGAAGCACTCATGATGCGATGCACATCATCGATGGTGATTTTATGGAGGTTCTGCAAACAACGAGTGTAAAAGGCCATCTCTTCTCTTCTGTCCAGTGTTCGGTATCACCCTAGACTGGAAGTTCTGGTGCCAACACCCGTATTCCCGGAAGTGGAATAATGAACTACAAATGCACGTAGCCTATTCTCCTTGTGGCGCAAGCCAAGTAGGAACGGAACAGCACTGCACACATATTCATATTGTCACACCAGTCCTTATTTATCATTAAGCACATACCTCCTCCCTTTCTCTTGCCAGAGTCTTTTGCTCTGTCAGATCAATAGAAAAAGAGTCACCTGGCTGAATGACACTGTTCATCCATGCCAACGTCTTAGCTGTCAAGTGACTTCTCAATTGACAACTGCTAAATTTATTTTGTTTATTTGTAAAGGGACCATGTACAATATTAAACATAAATGTTGCCATTTGATGAATTGCACCAGATTTAGCTTAAAGCTAATTCGCATCTGCAGTCCCTTGGCAGGTTCTGAATAGAAACATAACATAGATAAACAGAGCAGAACATTAAACATACACACTCACACATGTGCAAACATACACAGTCTCTTACACACAGCAGTATTATAAAATCAGTGAGAGCAGTGCTGGGAGTCTTTTAGCAGTGTCCTTAAGTTCATTTTAAAACTGTACATGGAGCTGCAGTTCTTAATGGTATCCAGTAGGGCATTACATTGAGTTGAGGCCTACAAAAAGCTGACTGCCCAAAGGCAGTACGACGAAAAGGAATAAGACAGTCTCTTGTCGAGGATATTCGTGTTGATTTTATGGACCCTTTGCTGCGAAAGTCAACAAAGTCTCTTAATGGAGGCGGGGCCAAACCATTTAAGAACTTATTGTGTTTAACATTAGCTAAGTATGTCAACCAGTGGTTAACTGTAGCCACTCAGGTAATCTTTACTAATTTTCTAAAGCCAGCTGCTAACACTACCCAGCTAGTTGTCAAGCGTAGTAATAAGAGATACAATACCATGTGATACAGCAATTATTTACCTGATGCAAAACACATTAGAGGCAGGTGCAGCATCAGATTCTATTTTTAATGTACTGGAATGGTTTCATTTGTTTCCTTGGCTTGATAAATATGCAAATTAACAACTACACTCAGATCCAATTTGATTTATCAAGAGGGATCCAGCTATAAACAGGTTATGGGTGGTATCATCATGCTGGGGTCATGCAGGGTGGTGACCTCAGTTTGGGTACATTTACCCTTCACTTCATCCATGCTTTTCACATCCTCACTCACAGTGTGCCAATTACAAAACTAATCAAGGACAAATGAATGGTAGTGCTCTGATCAGTGGGAGTGAACCCATGCCAAACTCTGTTCAAAAACCAAGCAATTTTATGCCAAATTACTTTTTGTCTAAAACTTACAGTTTTTCTACATGTTTAAGAGTAACAATTTATCGTGGCAAAGATACACCAAGCTGTATTTGGCTGTAATGACACGCTTACTGTTACCTTCCTCCATAACATTCTGTTGAACTAGGCCTGCAACTAACAATTATTTCCTTTGATGATTAATCTGCCAATTATTTTCTTGATTAAACAATTAATTGTTTTGTCTATAAAATGTCAGATAATGGTGAAAAGGTTGATGAGTGTTTTCCAAAGCTCAAGATGATATCATCAAATGTTTTGTCCACAAACTAAAGATATTCACATTAAAGAATCTAGTATCAGACAATTTAGACGTTTCTCTTAAAACAAAAAATAATGGGTTATGAAATTAATTGGCGATTAATATAATAGTTTACAACTAGTTGATTAGTCGATTGTTTGGTGGGTTATGTAGCCTATAGGCAGAATACACCTGTGAGGCCTTCAGATTCCGAACATGTATTCAGTTATGTTTAATAATGTTAGCGCACTGCTGATATACAGGCCAGCATCGAACTGCCCGATTTTCCAAGTGAGGTTTGGGATGTTTCCCTTCCCACACTAAATATGTCCACAGCAGGTCATCATGACTGTCCCGGCTGCATAATGGTTCTAAGTAAGAGAATTCATCTGACAGCTGGCTGATCAGGCTCGGCTGGCTGATGACACGGTAACTGAGTTCAACTGGCTCACTTACTTGAGACCTAGATCGTGTAAATGTTGTCCTATGAGCCTGATGACATCCTCCTCAGACTGAGACAGACGCTTCTTCTTTTTCACGCCCGTGTTGGAATCCGGCGTGCTGTTAGTGTTGTTGGATGCGGGTTGGGCTGACACTCCGTTGTTGTTGTTGTTGTTGCTGACAGTGTTTCCATTGTTAGTGACAGACTGAAGTCCGTTGGAGTGAGCTACTCCGGTGGAGGACGACTCACCGTTCTGCGCACCGTTTCGGCAGGACAGTTCTGAATCTCGGTCCTGTCCTGCCCCGTTAGCCTGCATGTTATCAAGGGTTATGTAGGTGAAACGATATGGATAAAAAAAGACTGACAGGCGCAACGGGACACTGCAGGGAAAAAAAACCCGCCGGTGCAGCCGCCGACAGGCCCACTGACCCAGATGCAGCCCCGAACTGCCCTGTTCCCCCTGCGGCCGAGTCTCCGTGTTTGTTCCGCGGCGGTGGCCGCGGCAATAACCCGGTTTTCGACTCGGACGACGAAGAAACGGAAGCCAGAGTTATTTCGACAGCCGCATTTTGAGGATTTCAGTAGTGCTCGGCGCTGTAAGGTACCGTTATAGCCTCGTTTAAGTTGTTGGATAGGGCTTGTTATTGTTGCTCTCAGACAGCTGCAGCCCTGCTATGGACATACGCAGTGACGTCAGCGGAAATTCCTTCACGTCTCTGCGCGGGCTGCGTCGCTGTATGACATTCAATTTTAATTATTAACATTACACTGATATTGCAGTTTATTTATGTATTTTTACATAAGCCCATTATACCTTTGGTGTTACAATTACTGCCATATGTGACAGTTACTCAAAAGCTGAATCCAAATGTCCACCCTCTGGACTTGCGGACTGAGCCCTCGTGGACTTAACTTGTACGTAGTGTGACGTATTCACTGTCATCACGTAAAGTCTGCGAGGGCAGAGACTGCAAGCGGCTGTTAGACAACCGTCCAGACCGTTTTACTCGTTGCCGTGGAATCGCATTACTATTGCTGCTGTCATATAAATCGATGAATAGTGCCTATTAATCTGTTCCTGCAAATAATAAGATATAAATCCCTTGTATAGCCTTCTTTTTGACTGAACAAAAATATATCTCTATAACATACATAATGGTGGTAAACCTTGTAGGTGGACTTCTAATTACCAATCTGCAGGCTACTGCATTAAAAACTGAGACAGTCATCACATGGACTTACAGGTGGAGTACGGTCAAAGGTTTTACTTCAGTTTCTATTTAAAGATTTTAGTTTTGTTATTTTGTTCTCCACCTCTTTTTGAAAGTCATTGGGTTTTTTTTGCTATGTTTTATGTAACCTGGCTTCTGTGACAACACATTTCTCTTTCTTTTCGAAGCACTGAGCTAAATGAATGGTAATTTTTGTCAACATCAAAGAAATGCAGCAGCAGTGATGACAGAACTTCTGCCTTTACACTTCATTACAGTTAACGTGTTTGATTCATTAGCTGGTGCTTTTATCTGCCTTTTTGTTCAAACTCAGTTGACTTGCACTGCTGTTGAGACACTGGAGAGCTGATGAGCTCTTCCACAATCAGTGCTCTGTAGCTTAATTTCATTGTGCAGTAATCATGACTCTGATGCTTGTCTTTATTTTATTTTTATTTTTTTTTAATAACTCACCTTATGATGACAACTGAAACAAAAGAGGGGACACTCAATGAGAAGGTCTTCAACTTAAAAACAGGACTGGGATCAACTGCTCAGAACAGGCTAAGTCCATCTACAGTGTCTAACTCAAATCACAAAGACTGTGAAGAGGAATCAGAGTTCGGAATCAAATTCTGACAAAAGATGACCACTAACAACAACTAGAACTACAAGACTGAATAATTATGTTGCCTTCTGAAGCCATCAGTTGGCTTCATTGGCATGGGATTGTCAAGATGACATTTCAGTGTTCTTGTATTGTTACTTAGCTAAAAAAAAAAGCAAAACTGTTTCAACCAAAACCTGGAATCATGACACATTATTCAAAGTGCTATTTAATTCCCAAGCCTGAGATTCTTTTAAAATACACATCAGGAAACAGCTGTGGCTTTAGTTTTTTTTTTTTTTGTTTTTGTTTTTTTACATCTAAAGCCATTTCTTTATCATTGGCACTTTCACAAAAGAAAAACAAAAAAACAATGTCCCCGTCATTTCCAATGAATATATCTCACTAATAAACACTGTCTAAACTCTATGAACAACAGGGACAAATCAGTCATCTTTCCCTTTCTTTAAATAGAATAAAACTCATATAACATTATAAAAATATGAACTAAAGGGGAAGAAATGATTTTACCTTTCCTTAAGAGAGGAGAGCATTAGGCCTGTAGAAGAAACTATTGCACTTCCATCCCATTCTACAGACATTAATGAGCTTTACAATCAGCAAAGGAAAGTGCACTATACGTATAATTTCCCCAAAAACACACGTAGATGTGCACACGTGCTCATTTTTCTGCAGGTCACTGCTGTCACAATAAAGCCTTGTACAACTGAAATACAAACTTTAGGGACAGTAATGTCAGACGTTCCCCATATGCAATCTAATTTAGTGTGTAGTCACAAGCAAAATGAGGTTTGTGACTGAAATGACGCACCATGACGGGCTTCAGTTCCTGCATATGAGCAGCCTGGCTCACATAATTAGGTCAACATGTTTTTAGTTTTCTAAGCTTCAAGTGACCCTTTACAAACTTTGCCAATGTACTGTCATTTATCATGTTGATTTAGGCGTGCAGTCTTTCCACCTTGATTCAGCTAGTGAGACCTAATGAAGCTGTGAGAGGATGTATCCTCTAACAGATATATTAGACTGTTTCCACCATAGACTGTATAAAAAATGAAGCCAAAACATCTTGATCACCCCCTAGTGGCTGGCTGCAGTATAGGTCATAAAGCCCACCCACAGATTTATCATACCCTGCCCCCTCCATGTTAATGAATGGGATGTGGGTCAAACTGAACACTCAAAGTACACCTCAAATAATTTTTTTCCCAAAGATGGTTTCTGTCATTTTAGGTAGTTGTTGTCACCACCTGATGTTTGTTAGGGGTGGGCGATACCACAAAATTTGGTTTGGGCCAGAATTGCCTATATCGATACCAGTACGACACTTTATTAATAAAAGTGGCCTTTTTTTTAATGTGGGGGAGAGCCATATGTCATGATTTATGAGTTGAATAATCAATCTACCTAAGTAATGGAAAGTGATAACAGTTTGGAAATATATCATTGACCAATGCTGAAGATCTGTTATGACTAAAATATTAATTTCACAAGGATACTATTTACTTGGATATTCCTTGTCTGAGCCTCTGTGAACAGACTCTGCCAGTGAACTCTGTCTCTGTGTCAGAGGTCTGGATGCTGAGGTATTTCCCTCTTCCTCCCTTCTTCTCAGTCACACTTCCAAGTTCTCTTTCTCATGTTTTTCCTCTTTCATTAATGCATCACTGCTAATATGTGTCCAAGCAGTGTCCAAGATGTCCAAACCAGTCAGGCTTGGACATGTCCGCGGACAGTTACAATCACACGGATGCACACGTGGTACAATTAAGAGTCTGGATCAGCCTACAGCAGTAAACATGAGTTCTGTGACATGAGCTTACCGTCTTCCTACTGCCCACATCAGGTGAAACTGAACTAAGAAAATGCTGCTGGTTGGTTAAGTGCAGACAACACAATTTTTTCCCATGCCCAGGTCTGTGAGGGTCAGTGTGTACTTCTTGCAGATTTCTGCATGGACCAAAAACTCTTCTGGACCAGTCAGACCACATCTGCCAACAGCATGTGTCAATGCGTTAGCATATGGAGAACCCTGTGCATGTCTGCTGTACACGTCCGTGTCCATTTTGAAATGTACAAGACCAAGCAAGCAGAGACTAACATGACACACAGGTAATAACAAACTTCAGGCCAGAATTTACCAGAACATTAAGACCCCATGTCCACCTGGTATTAACATGAGATGTGTATCTGGATCAGGGAATTCACATCCCAGCTGGTCACAGATGTCTTTCAAAGTTAATATTTGGTTGAATTTGGGTAGTGACATTGTGGGACCAAAATTCATTGTCAGGACGCCTAATGTTAATATTGTTATTTTGTTGGTTTTAGGTTGTGTTAAGTAGTGAAAATCCAGTATCTTCCAAATGTCTCATGCCAACGTCATCTTGATGTAGCATACCAAAGTTAAATTATTTTCAACCCTATTTTCATTCCAACCAAAATTAATGTGAGTCCAACATCTTTCTGATGTCAGAGAATTCACATCTGGAGGAAGTCTGGCTCACACTGAGATCAGAGATGGACATGTCTGAACAAGGTTTAACCATATTCTGCAGAAAATGTCCCCAGCAAATTGAAGGGTCACCTATTCGATGGCAATGGTTGACAGCAAGGTAAAAACCATTACTTAACAGCACTGTGCAGAACATAAGCTGGCTCACCCACCTAAAGTGTGTTGAGATCCAACCACTGTGCAGGAGGAGTTGAGATTATGACAATGTTTAATTCCAAGGCCTCATAATCAGATGTTTATCCAGACACAAACTGTATGTTTATACCAGGTAAGAATGGGATTGATCCAAATCTTGTGCAAACAACATGAAAGGCAGCAACAAGTTTAACATCATGTATTGAACTTGTTGCTGCTGTTGTCAGTTTACATCATGAAATTTAATACTTCATCAATTTATTTTTAAATGATTTTGTTACAGCCCTCGTTCCACATGACCACCATACAGTTCAAGGAAAATTTCAGGGGCCGTATTCACAAAACTTCCTAGTACAAAGAGTTACTCATTGGGGACAAAATTCTAAGAAACATCTTAGATATGACATTTTCTTAAATTCCCCCTTACAGTTTAAACTAGATCCTGGTAAAGATTTAAGTTATTCTCAAGGCATCTTAGTCCTTAAGAAAGCCCCTAAGGTGAAATATTTTCAGGAGTAGGCAGGAGGACTTTTAAGAGGTTTAAGAGTTTCTGAAGCAGAGGAGAAAAAGGCAGAAAGATGAAGAGGTAGGAGAAATATCCTCCAAACACTGAATGACAGCGAGTTAATGAAACACCACAGATTAGATGGTGCAGGATCGATCTCATTAGAGAAGCACTCACTTCTCCCACCAAGGATTCCTACAGCTTAAGGCAAGTGAGGAATTTTTAAGACGTTTAATGCCACTTGGTATAAAATTGAAGATGAATTTTACAATGACCAAATGTGAAGAAACATTAAAAAAAAATACATTAACATAACACATTAATATTAACAACATCAACTGACATCAATTACTTAAGATTAGGGTCAGTTTTCCAAAATGTTTTATGTAACATAAAACATGACTGTTTTTATCCATCCAGGCATGGAGAAAAGGGTATAACAGATGGCATATAGATTGACTAGGTTCATTTTGTCTTGTTTTACTGTAGAATTGTTCAATATTTTCTTATCTTCTTCCTCAGAAGAGTCATCCGACGTGTTGCTGACTGGCAGGAAGACTGGAGTCACAGTCGAAACTGCAAGGTGAAAGAAACATCTCCTACACTTTTTTGTCTGAAGATAACAAAATATTGAACAGAACTGACATTCGTTAGCAGGTTTCTTGGTGGTTTTGTGTCTCTCAGTCTGCATATGGGATTC